ATTGTGACTTTAGTGGTAAACAACAAGCAGCCTTGAAGCCCGCTTGTTATTGGCTGCAGCTTGCCCAACAAAGGCAAAACACCTTTGGCAACATGAAACGCCAGGAAGTCATTTATGAACTTGGTGACAAAGTGTTATTGAGTACAAAGAACATTCGTGTAAAGATCCCAGGAGCACGAAAGCTCTTTCCTCGTCGGATTGGGCCCTTTGATGTGATTGCGCGCATGGGTGAAGACGCATTTTGGCTTAAATCACCTAAGAAACTGCAGATTCACAACGCTTTCTACGTGTCTCTGCTAAGTAAATATGTTGCCGAAGGCAAATACTTACCACAACCAACCATCGTACCCAAGGAGAAACTCTTTAATGAAGTTGAGCGCTTGCTAACGTGTCGTGATCGAAAATGCTGCTGCAATACTTTATATGAGTTCATAATCTAATGGAAAGTCGATGGGTCGGAACACAATTCTTGGGAGCCTGAAGAACACTTGACTGAAACAACGGTTCAAGTGTATAGGGTTTTCAGATATGAAGGGAACATTACTCGGGACCCTGCGCTTTCAAGGGAGCTTCACTACTACTTGAGGAGACTTTCCGCTCTTTCTCCCGTCAAGCAGGAGAGTTAGTGCGACAACTCAGGAATTCGCTCCAGAATTACCCACGTGGCACAAATTCACATGCATTGAACTGTACCCTCTGATTTATCTACTGTGTATAACCACCTTTTGTCCTTACTTCTGAATCGAATCCACACTCTGGGTGGCTCGATCGCCACACTGTTTCAAAATCTGCTCGCCTACTGTTTCGCGGCCAGCCTTTCAGAACAGTGATAAATTCCGTCAGGTCATTATCGCGACTGTTTCCGTCAGGGGTTTCTGGAACAGGTTACAGAAACGCGATTTTGTGCTAGGGCGCCAAAATTACACATTTCAGGCTGGATAAATGGTTGATTTTTTTATAAAAGAATACAAATATAATTCATTGTATTGGGTGAACATATATATACCACTCTAGGTCCTCTTTAATACAGCACACACATGGCACATAATAAGCAATATATTTCCCATGCAGGTGAGGTATTTCTGAAATGCATCACGCACATGGCTATAATAACTACAACACGAGATACTCTAATATAAAGACCACCAAGACATCTGGCATTATGTCAACAACTCACTGCATGCTGGTATAGTCGATCTACATTCTGCAGATAATGATAGTGAGATGGTTGGCTACCCCTAAACAAATTTGAACCATTTTGCGCACAGACGCACGATTACTCATACAACTCAGTTGGGAGTGATATCAAAACTAGTCAACCTCAAACAACTACATACTTTAGGGTATTTGTCCAATGAAATAGTAGTGTCTATACAAATAGGGCACTATACTGCGAATAGAGGCATGATTGGATATTCTTAAACAGATTTGAGCCGTATTGGGCACAATCACACGTTTATCTTAAACAAATCAGTTGCAAACAATCCCAAAACCAGACTGCCTCACTTAGACACAAACTAACGGCCACTGGTATACACAAACAGGAGTTTCAAGGGCAAAAAGAGCATTAAACTGCAGATAGCGATATAAATGTTTACGGTTGAACTGATACGAGTCGTTCTATGAATGGATGCTTATTTTTCCATACAGATGAGGTGTGAATGGTATCAAACCCGGAGAGCCTCGCCTAGATGCATAGTAGAGGCAATTGAACCAAACTAACTTGACAAGTTGAAAAAAGGGCTTAAAACTCCAAACTGTAACAGAACTGGCTATCCTTGAACAGATTTGAGCTGTTATGCGCACGGACGCTCGTATACCTACACAAATTACTGCTACTGATCTTGTACCACGACTGTTACGATATGAAATTCAATGAGAAGACATTTATGCACGCTACAGGAGCCGACTCCACCGTGTACAAAGTCGAGAAGTCAGAAGAGCAACCCCATGGTTGACGGACCCCTCCGTCGACCAGCACTATCAGCTGTTGTCGCCGAGCTCCCCTCGTCGACCGCTGCTCACTTGTCAGGTCGACGGACTGCTCCGTCGACCTCCCCATCGAACTGCTCCTCCTGGTAGACGGCCCACCCGTCGACCAGCCCAGTTAGCTGCAGCTGTTGAGCTCCCTGGTCGACGGCTCCGACCCCGTGACAGGCCTGTACAGGTCGACGACCACTTCATCGTCCTGCCCCGCAGAAGAAGGCCGTCGAGCATCCCTGGTGATCATCCCTGGCAAGACCACAGTGATTCATGCTGCTCGACGAAGCCCATTGAGCAGCTCCCTCATTGCGAACGGTCGGCTGCTTCTCCCGTACATCCGACCAAGTCGTCGGCGTTGCCCAAGCGATGGCCGGGCCAACACTCCTGTCACGTTAACACGTACAACCATGAGGCCTTTGATTGAAAGAACTTGGACAGTAATGACACTTACATCCTGCTTGTGATAAGTTTTGCTATCCAAGAATAGATTTGAGATGCTCTACACAATTATAGATACTTACATACACAAATCATGTGCAAATGCCTTCAAAACCACACAGCCTCACCTACATACATAGTAGGTGCCATTGATCCAAATAAACTGGTTGTGATAAGTGGCTCTCTCTCTCTCTCTCTCTCTCTCTCTCTCTCTCTCTCTCTCTCTCTCTCTCTCTCTCTCGCTCTCTCTCTTTAAGGAAGAAGAGCCTCTACAAGGGACGGGAGGGGATCACCGGCAGTAGATGAAGGCCCTCCACCACGAGCATGGGCCGGGGGGAGCTGGAGGAGGTGCAGAAACCTGCGGAGCAACCACTGGATGCTCAACAGGAGAAGCGACTGCCGGCGATCGTACCACCTGCTGCGAGCAGCTATGACTCGCCGTGTCGGCCCGCATCGCGGGGAAGACGAGGCGCTGGGCAGCAGACCACGAGGGGAAGAGGAGGTGGACCGGAGAATGGTTTCTAACGTGCGAGTAGACGGGCTTTAACACGAGCGCTAACTAATGAAGACGATGGGAGGAGAGACGCTACTTATGAGCAACCATAAGAAGCAAGCTCGTCCACTGATGGTTCAGCGGGACCTGATGTCAAAACTACTGAACGCGAATGAATGCATTCAGTAGAAGCTGAGTACAAGTACTAACCCTAATTGGGTTGTACCTCTTATGGGCTACCCCACTACAGCGTTCACAGCACAAATATTGACATGTTTTGACACCTGACACTCCTTCGCGACAGTCGTCAGCCTCCACTAACACATTCATGTGTGCACATCCCCATGCTCTGATCCTCCAGGCAGACTTGGCAAACGCATTCAATAGCATCAGTAGAAGCGCGATAGTGGAAGCATTGCGAGGAACCGCCTTAGAACCTACCCTACCACTCGCCAACTGGCTCCTATGGCACACAATCCATGATCTTCCTATATTCCGCCTTCAACAGCCTACCCATCCCGAGCGAAATTGGCGTACGCCAAGGGGGACCCCCTAGGACCCTTTCTTTTCGTGGCAGGCATACACCCAACTTTAGCAAAGACAACAACGACCTTCCCCTCAATGCTATGTCTTGCCTATGCTGATGATATTACCTTCCTGGGGAGGGCGGAGGACTGTACGGCTGCGTTCGACCACTTCACGACGGCGTTGGGAAGTGTGGGGCTGAACCACAACCTGGCGAAATGCGCGGCATGGAGTGCAGTGAGACTAGAAGAGACAGTTTTGCCAAAGGGGGTGTCGTTCTGCCCCGACGGACTTTGAGTGCTGGGGAGCTACTTTGGGCCATCTGCAGGACTAGCCGCTGGCCATCTCATGCGTGCCTAGCCTCCGCCTCAACCCGGAGCACTTCTCTTTCGCCCTACAATTCCGCCTCGGCCTGCCCCTACCCGTTCCAGGCCGTTGCGATTGCAACAACAAGACGGAAATCCCTGATAAACGGCTGCCGAACCACTTGCTACGCTGCGGCTTTGGACGGGGGCGCACAAACACCCACAATGAGCTACGAAACGAGTGCGCCCGCATGGCACAAGATGCAGGATACATGACACACAAGGAGACTACAGCGTTCAGCCCGGTGGATAACAAGCGAGCAGACATGGCCATCCGGGACCATAGCACAGGCTCAGTGTGGCTGGGGGACATTACGATCACGGACCCAGTTAGCAAGGGGGACGAGCAGGCCACGAGTGGTAGGGGATGGGCAGCAAGGGAAGCAGCAGATAAAAAGATTGACATTTACCGAAACCGTTCATCTTTTGTAGGCTTCTTCCCGCTAGCAGTAGAGACCTATGGCTGTGTGTGACGAGGTCCCCTCTTTCCTCAAGAAGCTGTCAGAGTCAGCAGCCCCCAAGCACTTCAATGCTCCCCCTAAATCCTACCAGGTAGCAAAGTTGCTGCACCAATATCGGCAGCGGTGGTCCGTGGCACTGCAGAAGGCTCAGGCCATGAGCTACCTCGTCAAGCTCAATATGGCTGCTCAAATTGAGAATCCACCATTGAGTGGTTTGGAAAGTGAATTGTACCTGGGTGATTGCTTTGCCACTTTAGAGCCGGGAAATAGGAATGAGTAGATGAATATATATATTTGAGAGGTAGGATTGACTCACCCTTGCATGCTTGTCTTGGCTGTACCTTATACGGTTCCTACTGTAAAGGACCATTCGAGAGATACCAGTGCTACATTAGCCTCCCATTGACTGCTTTTCATTGTTGCGCATAAGTCAGGTGAACAATATATATGCAAATAAGGTACAGTTAGCAACACACAAATTCCATTCTAAAAAAAAACCAAGAAGTTGGAGGGACTCGTTTAAAAGTTCACAATGTTCGCCACTATTGCAACACTGAAGAGGATAGCACACACTAAACGATGTGTTGTCGCTGCTGCCGCTACTGCAACACCTGCTTCTGCCACCGCTATCCCTGCGGTTACCGAGGCTATCCAAGGTGTTGCCGCTGTTGCCGCTGACCCCGTCGTTGCCGCTGCTGCTGCTGTCTATGCTGATGCTGCTGCTGCTGTCCCTGTTTATGCTGCTGCTGCTGTCCCTGCTGATGCTGCTGCTGCTGTCCCTGCTGATGCTGCTGCTGCTGTCCCTGCTGACGCTGCTGCTGAAGTCCCTGCTGATGCTGCTGCTGCTGTCCCTGCTGATGCTGCTGCTGCTGTCCCTGCTGATGATGCTGCTGCTGCTGCTGCTGCTGCTGCTGCTGCTGCTGCTGCTGCTGCTGCTGCTGCTGCTGCTGCTGCTGCTGCTGCTGCTGCTGCTGCTGTCCCTGCTGATGCTGCTGCTGCTGTCCCTGCAGTTGCTGCTGCTGCTGTTGCTGCTGCTGCTGCTGCTGTCCCTGCTGAATCTGCTGCTGCTGTCCCTGCTGATGATGATGCTGCTGCTGCTGCTGCTGCTGCTGCTGCTGCTGCTGCTGCTGCTGCTGCTGCTGCTGCTGTCAATGCTGATGCTGCTGCTGCTGTCCCTGCTGCTGCTGCTGCTGCTGTCCCTGCTGATTCTGCTGCTGCTGTCCCTGCTGATGCTGCTGCTGCTGTCCCTGCTGGTGCTGCTGCTGCTGCTGCTGCTGCTGCTGCTGTCCCTGCTGATTCTGCTGCTGCTGTCCCTGCTGATGCTGCTACTGCTGTCCCTGTTGAGGCACCCGCTGCAGCTGTTGCCTTCTCAGTTGTCGTTGTTGCATTTGCAACCTTCTCCGCTGGCCGCGTCGCTTCTGCCCCAACTTTACGTGGTGTTGTTCATCCCGCAATTCCTCTCTGTGGTCACTGGAAACTCCCGTGAGTCCACTAATCAAGGGGTTATCCTGTACAACCGATTCTTGTGTATCTGGTACTAGGGTCTGGTTTGTCTGCCCCCCTAACCCTTCCTCTACCACATTTGCTGGCCTCTGATCCCTATTTCCTGATTCGGGAGCCACTTGTCTTTGCTGACGAAGGTGTTGCATCCGCCTAAGTCTAAAACAGACCACATTGTCACCATTATCTTGTGGAGCGTCAGCAGTAGTGGGAGTGTTGTGGTCATCGGCCATCTCACCTGCCACTCCACCACTCCCTAGTGCTCCTCCCCTCCCAGCACCGCTCCCTGCTGCTCCTCCCCTCCCTGCAACGCTCTCTGCTTCTCCTCCCCTCCCAGCACCACTCCCTGCTGCTCCTCCCCTCGCAGCACCGCTCCCTGCTGCTCCTCCCCTCCCTGCAACGCTCTCTGCTTCTCCTCCCCTCGCAGCACCGCTCCCTGCTGCTCCTCCCCTCCCTGCAACGCTCTCTGCTTCTCCTCCCCTCGCAGCACCGCTCCCTGCTGCTCCTCCCCTACCAGCATCGCTCCCTGCTGCTCCTCCCCTCCCTGCACCGCTCCCTGCTGCTCCTCCCCTCCCAGCCCTGCTCCCTGCTGCTCCTCCCCTCCCAGCCCCGCTCCCTGCTGCTCCTCCCCTCCCAGCAACGCTCTCTGCTTCTCCTCCCCTCCCAGCACCGCTCCCTGCTGCTACTCCCCTCCCCACGAATCCACCACTCCCTGCTGCTCCTCCCCTCAACCCCAGTCCACCACTCCCTGCTGCCCCTCCCCTCCCCACGAATCCACCACACTCGGTTGCTTCCCCCCTCCCCCCCCAGTCCAACACTCTCGGTTCCTCCTCCTTCCCCCTCCCATCCACCACTCCTGGTTCCTCTTGGATTTGATAACCCAACACCCCCTGCACTCGCGTTTCCTGTGTTCCCATTGTACAATCCGTTATAGGCCTCGCCAAAAACTTCACGGAGAACTATCGAAACTGCACTTTGGACTCCAGCACCCTCATCCAATGGCTCCTCTTCTCTCTCTCCCTCTGACTCCGAACTGCTGTCTCCCTCCTCTTCCAATACTTCAGCCCCTTCATCCTCACCTACTGCCTCGCGTGTAGTACTACCGTCCATCACCCCACCCGCCTGTGTGTTTTCCTGTTCACGCTGTGGCCTCGTGGACTCGCATAAAACATCCCTGTGGTGACTTCTAATGCATGCACTACACATCGCCACATTCAATTGAGCCTCTGCTTGCGTAGCTGTTTGCACGCTCATGTGCCCTTCCGGAGTGTGAAGTGCCTCCCATGCGTCTCTTAACTGTCTCCGTAAATCACAAGTCTTTCTATTATGCCCCTTCTCTCCACACTTCCCACATCTACGCAGCTTCCTGCCATCGATCTCACCATGGGATCTCAACCGATTTATGCGTGGCCTTACCGACTTTTTTGGGTATACGGGTGATTCGATTGAACAATCTGGTGTTATCTCAGTGCGGTCTACAGTTCGAATCTCCGTGCTGTAGAGCTCCTTCAACGCCTCTGAAGTATAGCACCTATGGAGCATGGCATGGACCACCTGTTGTACATCCGCCAGCTCATTTCCCCGCGCAGGTTGGCTGTTGTGGATCAGCGCGAATATGTGTACGCAGGGCAGTCCGTATCCTTTGCAAGTGACAGATTTGACGAACGTAAGTCAGGATCAATGATATCAGAAACTTATAGATAGGGTCAAAGGGAACAAAAAAGAAGTGCATGTACTAGTGACCGTAGTTGTCTGGTGCGGGTTTTAACCCTAAACATTATAATTCAAACCTTAAACCTGAACTCGCTTAGAATAATTACACGTGCACTCCGTCTGTTCTGGATTTGCTGCGTCCATCATCACCACACGCTCCTCCTTGGCTCCAGTGTCATGGCTCACATGGTAGGAACTTCGGCCGATCTTTTTCACTTTGTATTGCGTCCCCGTTTGACAGTTGGCACAAATGATTGCTGCAAAACTTGCGCTAGATTGTCCCTCCTCCACCTACGCATAGAGGCATGGTGGTACTCCACCGGGTTCGAAGTGTAGCACCCGTAGCGTGCCGCACCAAACTTAAAGGTAGCCCAACGTGCGTCTAATCCATTCCTCTCTAGATATTGCTCCCCCCCAGGACACTCTTCCTCGATTTTGTCCATGAAGCCACGAAGGACATCCTTGGTCAATGCTGCGGCCGTGAGCTCAATCTTGCCATCACAATCTGAACCAAATTTTGCATTAAAATTCCTCACCAAGTGAGTGATGCAAAATGCTTCACGGGTCTCAGGCAGCACTCTTGCAGCAGCTGCTTTCCAAGCTTTACCACGATCATGCATCAATGTAAAGCTTGGGGTGTTGATCTCAGGGGCAGCTAACTTCAGATGGCTCAAATAATACTCACACAAATCAGCATTCTCACCTTCTACACACGCACTCCCTAGCCTCACCAGTTTGTGCTCACAGTCTACCATGCATGCATTGAGGGTATGCCCACGCCACCTACCTTTATTGTGACAGTCATCAACAAATATGATCGAGAAACAATATTCAGCACAGCACGGACTCCGGGGTAAACCACTGCTGCCCGATAGAACATGTTGTCTTTTAGCCTCATGGATACAACGCTTGATGGGTGATTAGCCTTGAAAACGTCCAAGATGCTGCCAATTTACTGAAAACCAGAGTCACCACCAAGAGGATCCTCTTCGACGGCATCATGTATTGAGAGATCACAGGTAGTATAGCAGCAGTCGACCCCTAAATTTTCCTGCTCCATCTCTCGTAATCCCACTGGTCTAACTACACTATCAGGATGAACTTCACGCACCAACCTTTTAACCTGTTCCCTTCTAATCCGACTAGGGCATGGCACACACATGTCTGCATGCTTCAGCGTCACAGCTTTCACGCTAAGGCTGCAGTTTCGAGGCCCAGTAAGTAAAATCCGAAAAGGACAGAATCCCACTGGTGCTTTCACCTCATCTTTGGGCCAGTCTTGTCCTTTCATTGAGGGGCAACGCACGTCCATCCGTTCTGGCCTGTTCTCTTTAAACCATGGCTTAAAGTTGAATTTATCGCCATATGCTACTATTTCATCTCTAGCAGCGCTTACAGATAAATAGGTCTTTCCTTGGTGAATGTGGATTTCCTCCGTGCATTGTCCAACGAATGCACTGTTTTAAGACCGTACAATAGCACAGAAAAGGAATCATATGTGTTATAACATGCAGGTTTGGCAGTGAACGTGCACCAGTACAAGACATATCCTTATACTGCATCAGCAAATGAGTGACATCACCTGGAAAGAGGACTCATGAACATTGTGCACACAGGGTTTTGGTATACACGATAGTTGGCGGCTTCTTTGAGCCTGAAAAACCCAGAAAGGAGACACGTGTATTGCAGGAGAACAAATGATGAAGGCGAAACAACTATGATTCGTTAGGAGTGGAATATATCCAAATCCAATAGTGGAGAGGGGGGACGGATTACGTGGTTGGAAAATGTATTACGTGGGGGCTCGATGGCCCTAAACGCGAAAAAAAAAAAATGTGCGCGTTGTATGGATGTGTGTAAACAAGAAGTTGAGCGATTTTCCAATCGGAATGTAACGCGTAATACACCTATGATCTGTCACGACAGGTTGATCTAGAAGGGGGTAAACAGTAATACGTGCGAAATCCAGAGGCATAGTAACAACAGGCGCAACAAAGCAATGTCAACTTACCAACAATCTCAAGTGGCGGAGAAGTAAAAAGAAGTGTGCACGGATCAAATGAGCCAGAGACGAACACGTCGAATATTTGCGGGACTTGGCGAGAGAGAGAGTCCATCAGAGAGAACGGCAATGGAGAGTACGTCGGAGAGAACGTTATGCCTCGACTGCTCTAGATAGATGCAAAAAGGAACGGCGCCAAACACATGACACCTGTCCTTATTCCGACCTAACACATAGGTGATTTAAACATGGAGATGCGCCATGTGAAAGTACATACCTAGGCGATAATTTAAAATGGCGTTTAACATTGTCCGTCAGCTCTCGCAAACCCTTATCCGTAACGATCAACCAGAACACAGACACAGCTGAAGGTAACAATTGAACAGCCTCGAATGACTTGACGGATATGCACTCCGTTTCCAGTTGGCGCGCTTATCACTGTTCTGAAAGGCTGGCCGCGAAACAGTAAGCGAGCAGATTTTGAGACAGTGTGGCAATCGAGCCACCCAAAGTGTGGATTGGATTCGGAAGTTAGGACAAAAGGTGGTTACATACATTAGGTAAATCAGAGGGTATAGTTCAATGCGTGCGAATTTGTGCCACGTGGGTAATTCTGGAGCGAATTCCTGAGTTCTCGCACTAACTCTCCGGCCTGACGGGAGAAAGAGCGGAAAGTCTCCTCAAGTAGCAGTGAAGCTCCCTTGAAAGCGCAGGGTCCCGAGTAATGTTCCCTTCATATCTGAAAACCCAAGTGTATATGGAAGACCTGGCTCTACGAGCAGGCCCACAACCAGTAAATGGGGTCGACCCTGGTCGTAATGTGGTGCGCCGTGCTCGAAGCACTCGTCCTAAGAAGCACCATAGGGCAACGGGAACGTTGCCACCTAGGGGGGAGGAGTGTAACGTATTGCCTACTCTTATCTTACGACCTAACAACGCCTAAAGAAACCGTAAAACAACTCTTGATGGAAGTTGAACTACAAAAGGTTGGTGGTTGGGTTGGGAATAAAGGTTGGTTTGGGTTTTCCAACACTCAACATAGAGGCTCAGGATATTTCAACCCATCAAAATGAAAACTCAATGGTTGGATTTTCAACCAATAGGAAACTGCCAAATGTTGTAACAATATACTTTTCACAAACAAAACCTTACAATGGTTCTATGTTGGTTTTTCACAACCCAAGCTAAATGTCACGTAGGTTCCAAACCTAGGAACTCCCCCACTACGGATCCATGGTTGGAACAATGCTTCAAGGGGTGTATGGAGGCGGTTTGAGCTTGAAAGCTCATTTTCAACCTCCCAACTCCAACTTACCAAGATGGTAATAAATTTATTCTACTAAGTCATTGAGCTCTCTCACTCATCTCCCTACACAACTCTTTTCAAGTGCTTCTCATGAAAAGCACCAAGAATACTCTCCTACAACAACCCAAGACCTTCTTTGAGGCATCAATAGTGTTTACTTTTGTACTTGTGATATTTTATAAGCCTTGGCACCTTATTATATAAGGACCTTGGCGTTATAGAATGCGTGTGGCAACAGCAGCAGCAGCAGCAGCAGCAGCAGCAGCAGCAGCAGCAGCAGCCGCATCAGCAGCAACAGCGGGAATGCCAAGCTCACAAACATCAACAGCATGGGTAGAGGGTGCGTGCCCAATGGTTTGACCACACTGCAGGCGGTTAGAGACTAGCAGCAGGAATGATGCATTGAACAGAAATGTGAGTACAAGTGCTAACCCTAATTTGGGTTGTACCCCACTACAGCCTACACACAACAAGCATCATTATAGTTTGACACACCCCCATAGGCAAAGTGGGGGAGAACCAGTGGTCACAAGACCAGTCAAGAAAAGCAAAGCAAGCTCAGGGTGGATCACGAAGTCACCACACATTCTGAGCACAAGCAAATGGCCACAAGGCCAGTTCATATGCAGAGGTATATAACGCAAAGCAACACGAACAATGATCACCACCTAGCAAGTGTAAGCATGCAGGTATATATAGATCACAGTACAAGCAAAGTCACGCAGTAAGCCAGTACGCAACGTAGGCACGAGGCCTAAAGCAGTACAGAGACGCTGATGGTCACCAGGCAAAAGTGCCTTGGTGAAGATATCAGCATTGTCGGCCCGGGTGGCCACGTAAGCAAGACGAAGCTGACCATGCTGCTGCAACTCTCAAGCAAGACAGTTAAGCAGAGCGATGTGCTTTGTTCTGTGCTCCAGTCTGTGCTCCTGACACAAGGCAAAAGCGGCCTTGTTGTCTACGTATAGAACTGGAGGAAAACTAGGCCGCTCTCCCAAGTCAGTCAGCCAAGTAGGTGAGCCAGTGTAACTCCTGTGCAGCCATGGCTCCTGCGTAGATCTCAGCCTCACAACTAGAGCTGAGAACAGA